TTTTGTGCAGAGATTTAAAAGCTCGTGTGAGTGTGAGTTTTCATCAGAGCTGCCTCCTGTGTTATTACTGCAACAATATTATTTGCTATATTCCTCCATTTTAGGTGCCTTAAGTTGAAATCCCCCAGGAGCAAGATGTTGGGTGCAGGAGCTGGCAGATTTTCCAGACAGTGGTCAATTTTTAATAGCTGTTCCTGGAATTGCTGGGATGTTGCATCCGGAGGCTTGTAGACTACCACAATGACTAGGTTTTGGTTCTCGATCTTTACTGCTAAAACTTCCACTACATCATTTGAGGCATTAAGCAGTTCTGTGCAAACAAGTGACTCTGCAATGTACAGGCCAAAATCCCCCTTTTGTCTGTTCACTCTGTCGCATCTGTATAGGTTGTAACCTGGGATCCATATTTCGTTGTCCAAGTGATCCTTTATGTGGGTCTCAGTGAAAGCCGCGAACATTGCCTTTGCCTCTGCAAGCAGTCCACGGATGAAAGGTATTTTGTTGTTTGTTGCTGGCTTTAGACCCTGTATATTTGCAAAGAAGAATGTCATCGGACTGGTGGTATTGTTGGTACTAGGGAGGGAATTTTTTTTTCCGGCATTAGTATCTGTATCTGTTGGTTTGGAGTGGAGGCCATCGACTGTGGTTCCACTCCAGGAATGACTGGATTTGGTGTACGATTTCTGCCATTTCCTGCCAGTTTTTTTTTCCTTCCTGGCACTAAAAAACCTCTCCCTCTTGGGTGGCTGTGGCTATCCAGGTTTTCCCATGGCCTGGATGTTTTGTATCTTTTTGTCCCCTTTAGATGGTGTGCCTGGCAATTTAAGTTATAGCACAGTCTTTCCTGTACTGAAGAGGTACACATTTCAGGGTGAAAAAGCTTACAAGAAGGAAGTTTGCATTTTCCTGTTGTCATATGGGCACGGCATTTTCTAGGGTGGTCATAGTTGCACGTCCCATCTGTTTTTCCAGATTTCCCATGCCTGCAGATACCAAGTGCATAGTATGTGCACAGGCTTGGTTTCCGTTTGCCTTGGGTTTCTGTGACTGTATTCCCTGTTGGTGCATGTTTACCTGTCTTATTCCTATCCTCCCTAGCACCAACAATGGAGCTCCCACCAGTTGTTTTTGGTAATATATCCTCACTATTGCTAGTGGAGTCCTCTTGTTTGCTATTTCCTGTGGTATTTCTAGTTTGCAATATTGGTTTTATCTTATCTTTGACTACACTTGTTTCCCCACTACGGCTCCTGTCTCCCATGAGGTCATTTATATGCATTCCTGCCTGCGTGTATTTCCCGACTACCTGGACAAAATTTCTCCAGCTTCACCATTACTGTCTACCAGGACAGCACCTCCAGCTTCACCATTACTGTCTACCAGGACAGCACCTCCAGCTTCACCATTACTGTCTCCCAGGACAGCACCTCCAGCTTCACCATTACTGTCTACCAGGACAGCACCTCCAGCTTCACCATTACTGTCTACCAGGACAGCACCTCCAGCTTCACCATTACTGTCTACCAGGACAACACCTCCAGCTTCACCATTACTGTCTACCAGGACAGCACTATCACAGCACTATCTTTATTTCTACAAGTACATGTACAAGGCATATAGGCCTGGCTGACATCAATGACATACTGCAATATAGAAAGCCGCTTGTTATGTAGAGCATTTCAGGCAAATTAGGTCAGTTTTGTACCAGGATGCGACCCACACCAGTCGACTAACACCCAGGTACCCATTTTACTGATGGGGAACATAGACAGCCGGTGTAAGGAAACACGCCCAATGTTTCTACCCTCGCCGAGAATCGAACCCGGACGCTTGCCATGTGAATCAGGGACAATAATTCTAAACAATAAAAAAAAGAACTGATAATTGAAGCAGAAAAGTCAAAATGAGAGAACAATAACACAAAATACGGTGAAAAGCTCTGTTCCACAAGGCACAGTACTCGCTCCCATCTTGTTCCTCATCCTCATATCCGACATAGACAAGGATGTCAGCCACAGCACCGTGTCTTCCTTTGCAGATGACACCCGAAACTGCATGACAGTGTCTTCCATTGCAGACACTGCAAGGCTCCAGGCGGACATCAACCAAATCTTTCAGTGGGCTGCAGAAAACAATATGAAGTTCAACGATGAGAAACTTCAATTACTCAGATATGGTAAACATGAGGAAATTAAATCTTCATCAGAGTACAAAACAAATTCTGGCCACAAAATAGAGCGAAACACCAACGTCAAAGACCTGGGAGTGATTATGTCGGAGGATCTCACCTTCAAGGACCATAACATTGTATCAATCGCATCTGCTAGAAAAATGACAGGATGGATAATGAGAACCTTCAAAACTAGGGAGGCCAAGCCCATGATGACACTCTTCAGGTCACTTGTTCTATCTAGGCTGGAATATTGCTGCACACTAACAGCACCTTTCAAGGCAGGTGAAATTGCCGACCTAGAAAATGTACAGAGAACTTTCACGGCGCGCATAACGGAGATAAAACACCTCAATTACTGGGAGCGCTTGAGGTTCCTAAACCTGTATTCCATGGAACGCAGGAGGGAGAGATACATGATTATATACACCTGGAAAATCCTAGAGGGACTAGTACCGAACTTGCACACGAAAATCACTCACTACGAAAGCACAAGACTTGGCAGACGATGCAACATCCCCCCAATGAAAAGCAGGGGGGTCACTAGCACGTTAAGAGACCATACAATAAGTGTCAGGGGCCCGAGACTGTTCAACTGCCTCCCAGCATACATAAGGGGGATTACCAACAGACCCCTGGCAGTCTTCAAGCTGGCACTGGACAAGCACCTAAAGTCAGTTCCTGATCAGCCGGGCTGTGGCTCGTACGTTGGTTTGCGTGCAGCCAGCAGCAACAGCCTGGTTGATCAGGCTCTGATCCACCAGGAGGCCTGGTCACAGACCGGGCCGCGGGGGCGTTGACCCCCGGAACTCTCTCCATGTAAACTCCAGATAGAAACATTGCCGGTAAGATTCGTACTCAAATGCGTGAGTTAGTGTAATAGATTTATTGTGCACCCCATACCCATCCTGTCGACGATAGTGCTGGGTAAAATATTCAATTAGGAAACTAAAAATCTCAAAGCAGCAGGTTGGTTGATAACGCACCCTACTCACTTAGTGCCCATGGTTCGATCCCCACCACGGGTGAAACGTTGGGCATGTTTCCTTACACCTGCTGTCCTTATTCATCTAGCAGTAAGTAGGCAAGTAAGTTTAAGGTTAAATGCACATAAATACAGTTACACAATTTATCATACATAGTAACATGTGTAAATTACCTAGGATAACCCAGAAAAGTCAGACAAAGTGACATATCCACTGGGTTCCTTGGGGTACTTGTGTTTTTCGACTGTTGTGGGTCTCATCCTTTGGGACAAGATTAAAGGACCCCATTGAAATAAGACAGACAGTCCCCGATGATACACTAACTTTACTGAGTTATCCTGGTTGGCTAACCCTCCAGGTTAAAAATCCGAACAAAATCTTCTCTAAATGCTTCATTAGGTGGGTCGCAATCATGTTTGATCCCCAAGAGTGTTTACTGCTGCTTGCTGGTAACTGTTCGCTGGCTCGACACCGATGTAGTTACATCGCATATGCACCGAACTGAACCAAGTTTTCATAGTCAGTTGAAGATAAATTGTCAGTTGAAGATAAATTATAAATATAAGATTATAACGTCACAGTTGTGATCAGCTAAATCTAAATGACTGATTACATATATTATGTTTTAGTAATAACCTAGGTGTTCTTATGCAAACTGTATAAATTAGTAATTTGGAGCTAGTTTAAAATATGGTCCAGGAACTGTACCTCAACATTACAGAGGCACATAATGGGTCCAGGAACTGGGTCGCAATGGAAATAAGTCACTTTTGTCTGACTTTTTTGGGTTATCCTAAGTTTTTAAGTCTAAAAGCCATTAATTTAGTCTGTCCATAATGCCAAGGCATGATAGTGGCTCTCTTTGCACTCCAACTCATTATTGTATCTACAGAATCTCAATGTAAACTTGCAAAGAAATAAAAATTGTATTGTATATTACTGTATGTGTGTGTGTATACCTGAATAAACTTAATTACTAAACAGGTTACAGTGGTAATGCAGCGTTATTTACTACTACTACTATTACTACTACTACTACTACTACTACTACTACTACTACTTACACTAATAATAATGATAATAATAATATCTTTATTTCTACAAGGACATGTACAAGGTATAGAGACCATAGCTGACATCAGTGACATACTACTATACAGAAAGCCGCTTGTTATGCTGAGCATTTCGGGTAAATTAGATCAATTTTGTCCCAGGATGCGACCCACACCAGCCGACTAACACCCAGGTACCCATTTTACTGGTGAGTGAACAGGAACAACAAGTGTAAGGAAACACGCCCAATATTTTCACCCTTGCCGGGAATCGAACCCGGACCCTCAGCATGCGAAGCGAGAGTTTTGCCTGCCTTATGTTTTAACAAGATTTGCTTGAATTCAAACAAGTTTAAGTGGTTATGCGTTATTTACAGTACGCAGAGTCGGAGTATTTTTCAAGAATGGTTTGTAATGTGACTGGATAAAATATCTTGACATTTGGGTTATCCTAGGTAATTTACTCTGTATAGCCCTTGTGGCTTAGCGCTTCTTTTTTATAATAATAATAATAATAATAATAATAATAATAATAATAATAGGTAATTTACTCGATGTCTCACTGTACCTGTGTCTAAATAAACTTCTTAAACATTTGTGAGTGAATTGTCTCTGAATTCATAATAAGTCAAGGTGTGACAGTAGTCCATCTGACAAAATTTACATTGAGTTTTGTCTACATCAGCTGGTGATGCTAATACAAAAAAGAACGAACAAATTTGTTGTGTCAAGTGAATGTTTATAGATGACGTCACAGACCAGAGCTGGATGTCAGCCAATCAGCGGCCAGATATTTCCTCTCCTTGACTAATCACAGTCGTCCACTCTGGCAGCCATTTTTAAACCTCACTTTGAAACAGCAGCAACCAGACCATTATTGGCGGGGTGGTGACTGACTTTAAATATGCTTTGACAAAGTAAGATAGATGTAGTTATCTGGCTAATTCGATAGAGTTCTAGGTCACTTAAGTAATAATTCTGATAATGCAAAGCTAATTTTGAGTGATTCCTGTTTCATAAATATTTTTCCCACATGGAAACTTTCCAGAGGATTGTCTTAATGTTGGTCAGGGGCTGTTGATCCAAGGAAGTAGACCTATCCTCGCCTTTCTTAGCTCAAACCTGACTGCTTTCTATTCTCCATGCGTTGTGTGAGCCATACAGTCTTAGCGCTTCCCCTGGTTATAAATTTTTTATGTATGTATGATAGAGGAAAGTCATTCCAGGGGCTGCCTTTTTGGTAATTCAGTTTATTCAGGTATACACAAATACAGTTACATAGATTATCATGCATAACAGCATCTGTGTAGAGAAACTAGGATAACCCAAAAAGTTAGACAGTGACTTATTTCCATTGGGGGCCTTGATCCAACTTTTTTACTTCCATTTTAGCGCTTCTTTTTGATGATAATAATAATAATAATAATAATAATAATAATAATAATAATAATTTACTTCCATTCCTTAGGCGTTCTATGGCCCTTAATGTTTAATACTTCCTCAGAGTATAGTACTACTAACAATCACCTAGGTATGATTATTGTATATATGGTACTTGTACCTAAATAACCCCTCAAGGAAGGTTCCTTGATTCTGGTGAGGGGCTCTTGATCTAGGGAACTTGATCTGTGCTCCAGTTCCCTGAATTAACCCTGAATACCTTCCATCCCCCCCACAGGCACTATAGGCCTATGGGTGAAGCACTTCCCCCTTGATTATAATAAAGTACCTAAATAAACTTATGTTTTATTTCATCAGCAGATGATTGTAACAAATTCATGTCGGAACCTAGGCTTTAAAAAATCATTGGGCAACATCAATAAATTGTACAGTAATTTTAAACTTTTATTTTTCAGTGATATTTACTATCGGTAAATTTCAAGAGTCATGGGCCCTAAACTAGAAGACTTTGAGGTGTTGTCCACAATTGGTAGTGGGGCTCATGGAACAGTGCGTAAAGTAAGACGTCGTCAAGATGGACAAATTCTTGTGTGGAAAGAGCTCAACTATGGTGCCATGGGTGAATCTGAGAAGCAGGCAAGTGTATATTCAAGTAGTATAATTGATGTATTAGGTGCATACAATACTGACAGATGAACAAGATGTGCACCACTGGTAGCTTTGTGGAGACTGCTCAAGGAGAGTTTCTTGATGTCTTCACTTATCTTTCCCTTCTTTGAGTCAAACTTAAATGCCTTCCATTCCCCCCCATTGAAGTAAATTTATTGTGGTGATGTTTTACCGACTAGTGGCTTTTTCAGTCCACTGCAACAGAGAACAGTACTGAAGACAGTGGAAGACAGGAAACAGTGCAAGGTGATCAATCCTTCAGCCATGAAAGGTGGTGGGCAATCCATGCCTTATAATGGACTGAATGCTTCTTTTCAAGGCTGTGCGACTGATCACCTGAAACTATTTCTTCATAATTTCCACCATCTTCTGTATTTTCAGTATGGGATTGATAAAGTCGTATGACATTTTTATTGCCTCCAGCCTCTTTGCTGAACATTTAAAGCCCTTGCCACACTTTATATAAGTCTATTGGTATCACTGTACTTTGCTACATTTTATGTCCTGCACTCGTAGATAAATTTCTTTCTACTAGTGCCTTAATGCACCACCTACCGTTTTTCCCACTTAATTATTTTATAATTAACCTCATTGTTCAGACATCTGCCAACACATCCATTCCCAAATATCTAAGTGCATTCACTTCCTTCATACTCCCTCATCATCATTGTCGTAGTCGTTATCATCATTGTCGTGCAAGAAAGGTATAAAATACCAACAATATGAAAGTTAAGACACATGTGCAACATCTGGATATCTTTATTGTAGACGTTTCGCCATCCAGTGGCTTTATCAATACAGATTCTAGGACATAATAGGAAGACAGTAGAACTATATACAAAAGATGAGGTAATCAGTCCCTCAGCCTTGGAGTAAGTGTTCACAGCATCGTGGTGGAGGAGAATCTGGAGCAAAGGCAAGAAGACTGGCGGTTATATAGGCGTCAGTGGATAAGGACGGGCAGCAGACGAGGGCATAGTCACTGGTAGGCGGGATTCCCCAGTGGAAGTAGGTCCTTCCCACCTTCCTGCCTTTTTGCTCCAGATTCTCCTCCACCACGATGCTGTGAACACTTACTCCAAGGCTGAGGGACTGATTACCTCATCTTTTGTATATAGTTCTACTGTCTTCCTATTATGTCCTAGAATCTGTATTGATAAAGCCACTGGATGGCGAAACGTCTACAATAAAGATATCCAGATGTTACACATGTGTCTTAACTTTCATCATCATTGTCGTCATTATTGTCATTGTCTTCATCAAACTCATGACATCACTATATCATTCTTATTTGCCATGAAACTAATTCTGTAACTTTGTTCCTACACAACCTTGGGTCCACAGATCATAACTCATTTCCAGCATCATATTTAGCTCATGTAAGTATTTTATGACCCAAGTGCCCTGTGTCCTGTTAATCTACTTGTGCACCTTGGTGTGTCAGTCTCCCTCTTCCCTACCAGTGGTTACTATGAAAAATCACAAGGGCATGCAACCTGAGATTGAGTACTGTATTTATTTTCTGAAATTAATGTAGATGGTCACTATTTTATTAAATATTGTGCAGTTTTTACTACTAAGTAAGCACTGACTTGCTAAACTAAAACTTGCTCTATGCATTGGGAGTACTCGAATTTTAATCACTAGCCTCATGCTCATAAGAATGGCAATTCATCCCGCTGCTTCATTTTTATCATTAATAAATTTTCTCCAAGTTGCAAGTTGACACTTTGTTGCCTCTAATCCACAGGCACACACAATTAAACAGTTGCATTGAATCTTACAAGAAACTGAACGGATTTTTTTTTAAATCACACTACTTATAAAGTTTGTTGATAAATTTTAACTTTTCATTTTTTTTTTTCTAAATTTCTTTACTGTGCATGCTCAGTTTTTCTTGTTTAATCCCTGACATTATAGATCTCTCATATAGGGAGAAGAATGATTATCTGATTGTTATCTCTTCATTCTAGGGGCTAGTACTGGAGGTGAACCTTTTACGAGAACTAAGACATCCCAACATAGTCAAGTTCCTCCATCACATAGTTGATAGGCGCTCTACCACTCTCTACATCTTGATGGAATATTGCCCTGGTGGTGACCTAAAGCATCTCATATCCAAGTGCCACCAGACGTCAACATTTCTAGAGGAAGGGTTCATTTGGAGGGTCCTGAAACAAGTTAGTTTGCTAAATTCCTGTGTTCATAGATGCCTCAATGCCCCACCTACCCTTTTACATTTGTCAGTTCTATAGTTCACCTCATCTCTCAATCTCTCATAGAACCATGCATGGACATATCCACTCCCAAATATCTGAACACATTTATGCCATACTCCCTGCAATCTAATACCCAATATCTAATTGCCTAAGTTTTTGATACTCTCATCACCTTATTTCATTACTTAACAACATTTTATTCATTTCTAATTTATCCTTATTTGGTTCTTTCTTTATCTTCTGCCTCCATTCTGATTTCCATATTGTTAATAGCCCATTATTTTTATTATTATTATTAACACACTGGCCGATTCCCACCAAGGCAGGGTGGCCCGAAAAAGAAAAACTTTCACCATCATTCACTCCATCACTGTCTTGCCGAAGGGTGCTTTACACTACAGTTTTTAAACTGCAACATTAACACCCCTCCTTCAGAGTGCAGGCACTGTACTTCCCATCTCCAGGACTCAAGTTCGGCCTGCCGGTTTCCCTGAATCCCTTCATAAATGTTGCTTTGCTCACACTCCAACAGCACGTCAAGTATTAAAAATCATTTGTCTCCATTCACTCCTATCAAACACGCTCACGCATGCCCGCTGGAAGTCCAAGCCCCTCGCACACAAAACCTCCTTTACCCCCTCCCTCCAACCTTTCCTAGGCCGACCCCTACCCCGCTTTCCTTCCACTGCAGACTGATACACTCTTGAAGTCATTCTGTTTCGCTCCATTCTCTCTACATATCCGAACCACCTCAACAGCCCTTCTTCAGCCCTCTGGACAACAGTTTTGGTAATCCTGCACCTCCTCATAACTTCCAAACTACGAATTCTCTGCATTATATTCGCACCACACATTGCCCTCAGACATGACATCTCCACTGCCTCCAGCCTTCTCCTCACTGCAACATTCATCACCCATGCTTCACACCCATATAAGAGCGTTGGTAAAACTATACTCTCATATATTCCCCTCTTTGCCTCCAAGGACAAAGTTCTTTGTCTCCACAGACTCCTAAGTGCACTGCTCACCCTTTTCCCCTCATCAGTTCTATGATTCACCTCATCTTTCATAGACCCACCCGCTGACACGTCCACTCCCAAATATCTGAATACATTCACCTCCTCCATACTCTCTCCCTCCAATCTGATATCCAATCTTTCATCACCTAATCATTTTGTTATCCTCATAACCTTACTCTTTCCTGTATTCACTTTTAATTTTCTTCTTTTGCATACCCTACCAAATTCATCCACCAACCTCTGCAACTTCTCTTCAGAATCTCTCAAGAGCACAGTGTCATCAGCAAAGAGCAACTGTGACAACTCCCACTTTGTGTGTGATTCTTTATCTTTTAACTCCACGCCTCTTGCCAAGACCCTCGCATTTACTTCTCTTACAACCCCATCTATAAATATATTAAACAACCACGGTGACATCACACATCCTTGTCTAAGGCCTACTTTTACTGGGAAATAATCTCCCTCTTTCCTACATACTCTAACTTGAGCCTCACTATCTTCGTAAAAACTCTTCACTGCTTTCAGTAACCTACCTCCTACACCATACACCTGCAACATCTGCCACATTGCCCCCCTATCCACCCTGTCATACGCCTTTTCCAAATCCATAAATGCCACAAAAGCCTCTTTAGCCTTATCTAAATACTTATATGTTTCACTGTAAACACCTGGTCCACACACCCCCTACCTTTCCTAAAGCCTCCTTGTTCATCTGCTATCCTATTCTCCATCTTACTCTTAATTCTTTCAATAATAACTCTACCATACACTTTACCAGGTATACTCAACAGACTTATCCCCCTATAATTTTTGCACTCTTTTGTCCCCTTTGCCTTTATACAAAGGAACTATGCATGCTCTCTGCCAATCCCTAGGTAGCTTGCCCTCTTTCATACATTTATTAAATAATTGCACCAACCACTCCAAAACTATATCCCCACCTGCTTTTAACATTTCTATCGTTATCCCAACAATCCCGGCTGCCTTACCCCCTTTCATTTTACCTACTGCCTCACGAACTTCCCCCACACTCACAACTGGCTCTTCCTCACTCCTACAAGATGTTATTCCTCCTTGCCCTATTCACGAAATCACAGCTTCCCTATCTTCATCAACATTTAACAATTCCTCAAAATATTCCCTCCATCTTCCCAATACCTCTAACTCTCCATTTAATAACTCTCCTCTCCTATTTTTAACTGACAAATCCATTTGTTCTCTAGGCTTCCTTAACTTGTTAATCTCACTCCAAAACTTTTTCTTATTTTCAACAAAATTTGTTGATAACATCTCACCCACTCTCTCATTTGCTCTCTTTTTACATTGCTTCACCACTCTCTTAACCTCTCTCTTTTTCTCCATATACTCTTCCCTCCTTGCATCACTTCTACTTAGTAAAAACTTCTCATATGCTAACTTTTTCTTCCTTACTACTCTCTTTACATCATCATTCCACCAATCGCTCCTCTTTCCTCCCGCACCCACTTTCCTGTAACCACAAACTTCTGCTGAACACTCTAACACTACATTTTTAAACCTACCTCATACCTCTTCGACCCCATTGCCTATGCTCTCATTAGCCCATCTATTCTCCAATAGCTGTTTATATCTTACTCTACCTGCCTCCTCTTTTAGTTTATAAACCTTCACCTCTCTCTTCCCTGATGCTTCTATTCTTGTATCCCATCTACCTTTTACTCTCAGTGTAGCTACAACTAAAAAGTGATCTGATATATCTGTGGCCCCTCTATAAACATGTACATCCTGAAGTCTACTCAACAGTCTTTTATCTACCAATACATAATCCAACAAACTACTGTCATTTCGCCCTACATCATATCTTGTATACTTATTTATCCTCTTTTTCTTAAAATATGTATTACCTATAACTAAACCCCTTTCTATACAAAGTTCAATCAAAGGGCTCCCATTATCATTTACACCTGGCACCCCAAACTTACCTACCACACCCTCTCTAAAAGTTTCTCCTACTTTAGCATTCAGATCCCCTACCACAATTACTCTCTCACTTGGTTCAAAGGTTCCTATACATTCACTTAACATCTCCCAAAATCTCTCTCTCTCCTCTCATTCCTCTCTTCTCCAGGTGCATACACTCTTATTATGACCCACTTTTCGCATCCAATGTTATTAATTAAACTTTCATATTTTCTTTGTGACAGTTTTTCAGTTTAGCTTTGGGTCTCCATGCAAATCATTTTCTTAGCTTCCATCTGCTAATGTCTTCCAACTTGCTTCTCTCCTTTCCTTTTACTACTGCCATAATGATTGTTACAGATCTGTGAGGCCTTGAAGGTTTGCCACACAAGACAACTAAGAAAAGGGCCAATCATCCTCCACAGGGATATTAAACCAGCTAATGTTTTCCTTGATGCAGATGGAGAAGTCAAATTAGGAGACTTTGGCTTAGCCCGGACTCTCAACTCTGAGGCCAGCTTTGCTACCACCTTTGTTGGAACGCCCTATTATATGAGCCCTGTGAGTTGTGCTTTTTGTAACTTTTTTTAAATCATGGTATATTTGATAGTACAGATATGACTTTGTTAGTGAGAATGTGAGACTGCCTTTATTTACCTCCCATTATTTCTTTCTTAATGCTTATCTGGCTTGCTTACTTTTTTAATTCATATACATGTATTCATTTACATTTGATTTTTATGCCAAAATATGAGCGTTCTTTCTTAAGAGATCAGTACCCATATAATATTTGAAACAGAAAGACTTAACTGTTGGTCAGTGCTATTGCTTGTATTTAAACTTTAAATGACAGTGATTTCATGATTTGCGTAGTACTGACAATATTTGTATTCAACAGGAAGTAATAGAAGGGCAGGATTATAATGAAAAGTCAGATATGTGGTCACTGGGTTGTCTGATATACGAGTTGTGCGCTCTACACCCTCCCTTTCAGGCCACCACACACAAGCAACTGGCTGCCAAAATCAGAGAGGCCAGGTCAGTCTCCAATGCCTTTATGCTAATATTTTTAACACACCAGCAGTTTCCCATCGAGGTAGGGTGACCCAACACTTTCACCATCATTCACTCTTATCACTGTCTTACCAGAGGCATGCTGATAATACACTTCAGATGCCCCCCCCCACTACAAATATCCCTACCCCTCCTTCAAAATGCAGGCACAGTACTTACCACCTCCAGGACTCAAGTCCAGTTAATCGATTGCCCATATCCCTTGACAGAATGTTACCTTGCTCACACTCCAACAGTTCCTCAAGTCCCAAAAACCATATGCCTCCACTCCTATCTAACATGTTAACACATGACTCATGAAATCACACCTGTTAGATGTCCAAGCCCCTCACACACACAACCTCCTTTATTCCTTTCCTTACAACCTTTCATGGGGTTACCCCTACCTTGCCATCCGCTACAGATTTATACACCCTCCAAGTCATCCTGTTCTGCTCCATCCTCTCTAAATATCCAAACCACCTCAACAACCCCTTCTCAGCCTCTGGATAATACTTTTAGTGACTCTGCACCTCCTAATCTCCAAGCTACAAATTCTCTGTGCAATATTTGCATCACACATTGCTCTCAGATATAACATCTCCACTGCATCCAGCCTCCTCCCTACAACATTCATAACTCATGCTTTACACTCATATAAGAGTGTTGGTATACCACTGTTCTCTCATACAATCCCTTCTTTACCCCCATGGATACCATTCTTTGTCTCCACAGATACCTAATAGTACCTTGAAGGGCAAAAATATTTATATGTTCACAATACATTAAATTATTTGGCACAGCTAATGGGAGGTCTACTGAGGGTATTTTTTTCTAATTTTTTTTGTTTTGTTTTGTTTTAACACTGGCCATCTCCCACCGAGGCAGGGTGACCCCAAAAAAAGAAACTTTCACCATCATTTACACTATCATTGTCTTTCCAGAGGTGCACAGATATGACAGTTTAGGTATCCCTCTCAACAGCAAATATCCCAAACCCTTTCTTTAGAGTGCATGCACTGTACTTCCCACTTCCAGGACTCAAGTCCTTCTAGATGGAAATGTGTGTGTATATTAAATACATATACAGGTGGGCCGCATTTATACAGGTTACCTCTGTAAAGCAAAAATCACTGTGAAGTGAAACATAATCTTTTTTCACTTTCAGATGCATATAAAAGCCTGGTAACATATTTACACTATTATATTTTAAGTGAGCAATAGAGCTAGACCTGAAAAATGCACATAAAATACATACATTACTTTTTTTTTTTTTTTTTTTTTTAACAAGTTGGCCATCTCCCACCGAGGCAGGGTGACCCAAAAAGAAAGAAAATCCAAAAAAAGAAAATACTTTCATCATTCAACACTTTCACCTCACTCACAAATAATCACTGTTTTTGCAGAGGTGCTCAGAACACAACAGTTTAGAAGCATATATATATATAAAGATACACAACATATCCCTCCAAACTGCTAATATCCCGAAACCCCTCCTTTAGAGTGCAGGCATTGTACTTCCCATTTCCAGGACTCAAGTCCGGCTACATAAAAATAACCGGTTTCCCTGAATCCCTTCAGTAAATATTACCCTGCTCACACTCCAACAGATCGTCAGGTCCCAAATACCATTCGTCTCCATTCACTCCTATTGACCACGCTCATGCATGCCTGCTGGAAGTCCAAGCCTCTCGCCCACAAAACCTCCCTTACCCCTTCCTTCTAACCTTTTCGAGGGCGACCCCTACCCCGCCTTCCTTCCCCTACAAATTTAAATGCTCTCCATGTCATTCTTCTTTGATCCATTCTCTCTAAATGACCAAACCACCTCAACAACCCCTTTTCAGCCCTCTGACTAATACTTTTATTAACTCCACACCTTCTCTTAATTTCCACACTCCGAATTTTCTGCATAATATTTACACCACACATTGCCCTTAGACAGGACATCTCCACTGCCTCCAACCGCCTCCTCGCTGCTGCATTCACAACCCAAGCTTCACACCCATATAAGAGTGTTGGTACTACTATACTTTCATACATTCCCTTCTTTGCCTCCATAGATAACGTTTTTTGTCTCCACATATACCTCAACGCACCACTCACCTTTTTTCCCTCATCAGTTCTATGATTAATCTCATCCTTCATAAATCCATCTGCCGACACGTCAACGACCAAGTATCTGAAATATTCACTTCATCCATACTCCTCCTCCCCAATTTGATATCCAATTTTTCTTTATCTAAATAATTTGATACCCTCATCACCTTACTCTTGTCTATGTTCACTTTCAACTTTCTCCCTTTACACACACTCCCAAACTCATCCACTAACCTTTGCAATTTTTCTTTAGAATCTCCCATAAGCACAGTATCATCAGCAAAAAGCAACTGTGTCAATTCCCATTTTGTATTTACTTCTTTTACAACCCCATCTATAAATATATTAAATCATGGTGACATTACACATCCCTGTCTAAGACCTACTTTTACCGGGAAGTAGTCTCCCTTTCTTCTACACACCCTAACCTGAGCCTCACTATCCTCATAAAAACTCTTTACAGCATTTAGTAACTTACCACCTATTCCATATACTTGCAACGTCTGCCACATTGCTCCCCTATCCACTCTATCATATGCCTTCTCTAAATCCATAAATGCAATAAAAACTTCCCTACCTTTATCTAAATACTGTTCACATATATGCTTCAATGTAAACACTTGATCTACACATCCCCTACCCACTCTGAAACCTCCTTGCTCATCCGCAATCCTACATTCTGTCTTGCCTCTATTTCTTTCAATTATATCCCTACTGTACACTTTTCCTGGTATACTCAGTAAACTTATTCCTCTATAAGGTGGGGATATAGTTTTTGGAGTGGTTGGTGCAATTATTTAATAAATGTATGGAAGAGGGTAAGGTACCTAGGGATTGGCAGAGAGCATGCATAGTTCCTTTGTATAAAGGCAAAGGGGATAAAAGAGAGTGCAAAAATTATAGGGGGATAAGTCTGCTGAGCATACCTGGTAAAGTGTATGGTAGAGTTATTATTGAAAGAATTAAGAGTAAGACGGAGAATAGGATAGCAGATGAACAAGGAGGCTTTAGGAAAGGTAGGGGGTGTGTGGACCAGGTGTTTACAGTGAAACATATAAGTGAACAGTATTTAGATAAGGCTAAAGAGGTCTTTGTGGCATTTATGGATTTGGAAAAGGCGTTTGACAGGGTGGATAGGGGGGCAATGTGGCAGATGTTGCAAGTGTATGGTGTAGGAGGTAGGTTACTGAAAGCAGTGAAGAGTTTTTACGAGGATAGTGAGGCTCAAGTTAGAGTATGTAGGAAAGAGGGAAATTTTTTCCCAGTAAAAGTAGGCCTTAGACAAGGATGTGTGATGTCACCGTGGTTGTTTAATATATTTATAGATGGGGTTGTAAGAGAAGTAAATGCGAGGGTCTTGGCAAGAGGCGTGGAGTTAAAAGATAAAGAATCACACACAAAGTGGGAGTTGTCACAGTTGCTCTTTGCTGATGACACTGTGCTCTTGGGAGATTCTGAAGAGAAGTTGCAGAGATTGGTGGATGAATTTGGTAGGGTGTGCAAAAGAAGAAAATTAAAGGTGAATACAGGAAAGAGTAAGGTTATGAGGATAACAAAAAAGATTAGGTGATGAAGATTGAATATCAGATGGGAGGGAGAGAGTATGGAGGAGGTGAATGTATTCAGATATTTGGGAGTGGACGTGTCAGCGGATGGGTCTATGAAAGATGAGGTGAATCATAGAATTGATGAGGGGAAAAGAGTGAGTGGTGCACTTAGGAGTCTGTGGAGACAAAGAACTTTGTCCTTGGAGGCAAAGAGGGGAATGTATGAGAGTATAGTTTTACCAACGCTCTTATATGGGTGTGAAGCATGGGTGATGAATGTTGCAGCGAGGAGAAGGCTGGAGGCAGTGGAGATGTCATGTCTGAGGGCAATGTGTGGTGTGAATATAATGCAGAGAATTCGTAGTTTGGAAGTTAGGAGGAGGTGCGGGATTACCAAAACTGTTGTCCAGAGGGCTGAGGAAGGGTTGTTGAGGTGGTTCGGACATGTAGAGAGAATGGAGCAAAACAGAATGACTTCAAGAGTGTATCAGTCTGTAGTGGAAGGAAGGCGGGGTAGGGGTCGGCCTAGGAAAGGTTGGAGAGAGGGGGTAAAGGAGTTCTGTGTGCGAGGGCTTGGACTTCCAGCAGGCATGCGTGAGCGTGTTTGATAGGAGTGAAATGGAGACAAATGGTTTTTAATACTTGACATGCTGTTGGAGTGTGAGCAAAGTAACATTTATGAAGGGGTTCAGGGAAACCGGCAGGCCGGACTTGAGTCCTGGAGATGGGAAGTACAGTGCCTGCACTCTGAAGGACGGGTGTTAATGTTGCAGTTTAAAAACTGTAGTGTAAAGCACCCTTCTGGCAAGACAGTGATGGAGTGAATGATGGTGAAAATTTTTTTTTTTCGGGCCACCCTGCCTTGGTGGGAATCGGCCAGTGTGATAATAAAAAAAAAAAAATTACAATCTCTTTTGTCCCCCTTCCCGTTATATAAAGGGACTATACATGCTCTGCCAATCCCTAGGTACCTTCCCCTCTTTCATGCATTTATTATTTTTTATTTTTTTTTATTATCACACTGGCCGATTCCCACCAATGCAGGGTGGCCCGAAGAAGAAAAACTTTCACCATCATTCACTCCATCACTGTCTTGCCAGAAGGGTGCTTTACACTACAGTTTTTAAACTGCAACATTAACACCCGTCCTTCAGAGTGCAGGCACTGTACTTCCCATCTCCAGGACTCAAGTCCGGCCTGCCGGTTTCCCTGAACCCCTTCATAAATGTTACTTTGCTCACACTCCAACAGCACGTCAAGTATTAAAAACCATTTGTCTCCATTCACTCCTATCAAACACGCTCACGCATGCCTGCTGGAAGTCCTAGCCCCTTGAAC